GATCCGATTGTGGCTCGGCTCGCGCGAGCGATCGCGCCGATGAAACGCTTATCTCGACGGTCGCTTTTATCGAGCACCAGACCGCCACTGTACACCATCATCGCTTATATCGACTGCCCGCTAACGAGATCCTGTTACAACGCTTGACAGACGCTTGTGTGTACGCGCGAGATTCCGCGTGCGCGTTTCAATTCATTTCGCGAACGTTGTTTTTTCGACCAGGATGCCTCGTTACAATCCGCATTACGCGGGGAGATCGTCGTCGCGCGCTAAATTCGCAATAGAAACTGATTATAAGAAATATCCGAATCGTATAATCATTCTAATTACTTCTAGCTTGATTATCTACGCGAACAAATTATTTATTTTTATTTGATGTGTTGGTCTCCTTCTAGTTCACTCGTTTAATAATTGTGCATGTTAGAAAATTTTAATATTGCCGTTAATTATAATTCTATCAATGATTTTGCAGAGTTTTGTGTCGCTGATTCTCTAAAAAGATTTATCATGTCGCTATTATTACTAAAAGTAACATACGTGTTATCTAGCACGATTATGAAATAATGACAATTAAAATGTAAAAATTATTTTCAAATTATTTTCAAAGGATTTACATATAAAAGAGATGTGTGATGGATTTGAAGTAATCGTGCAAAATTGAGGAGTATAATTTTCGGAATTAAAGAGAGAGATAAATCGGTAACGAGAAAGCGTCGTAAACCGGTGCTCGTCACGACGAATGGTCAATTATTCTAAATGTCGTGGTGACCCTCGGCAAGAGTTGCCGTTTAATTGAATAATTACTCACCGGAACGGAACGAGCCGTGGTCGTTAAGTATCGAAGATAATTGCGTCTCGGTTCGGTTCGGCTCGGCGGGATAATCCCGCGGTGTGCTCGGCTTATCGTATCGTATCTTCCCGCTCGAGGATACCAAATGTAAGAATCGATTTTATTCTCGTTCTTTTTTTTTTCTTATCGAAAATCCCCGCGGCGAGTCCTTGTCCTTTCCGCGAGTAGAGTTCCCGTGGACGAAAACGTTCCTCTTCTTCCTCTTGTTCGTGTGACACGACACGCCGTTTCACGTCTCATTTTGCGGCCCATAAGACCCACCGATTCGCATAATTAGTCCGCCCTATCTCTCTCGGATCCGATCGAGCGAGTACTCTCGGCCGAAGTACTCGGATACTCGGCGAGATATTTCTCCGGCGGAGAACGCGAAGCGAGATTTCTTTCACGGGGCGAAACCTGATCGCCTGGGTGAGCTGCTTGCGCTCGAGCGATTGCGATCTTGACGGAATAATTTCCGCCGCTGCTGGAGCTTCGTGAAAGAACCTTCGCCGACTGGCGAAATGCCGCTGTTAATTCGCAATCTGGAAGGATCGACGCATTCGTGCAATCCGTCCAATCATCAAGATCAATCTTCGCGTCCGATCTTCAATAAGTCGCGTTATTAATCATTGCTCCGTCGACGTTGGATTTATATTTCACTCGTCGCGAACGCAACTATGCCTGTAAGATTGTTTTTGTTCCGTTCGGAAACCTGTCTCCCGATCAAACGTCCGAGATAAAAGCGAGCCACCGACATACATCATTCGTTGGTCCCTCGAGCACTCGTTTTCGCGTCAAAGTTCGTCAGCGTCTGAACAGTCGGTTAATAACAAGTTTTTTTACACCTCAAACGGCCTCAAGATTAATAATGATGGTTTTTGGCAGAAAGATGAAACTCTCCTCGTGTTAAATCTACCTGAGAATCGTCTAATTACAAGACTGGCTTATCACCTTTTTCGAATGATCTCGCGATTCTCTTTGAAGAGAACCGACGATACTTCTTAGTCAAATATCGCCGGTCGGGGATCGCAGAGTAGTAGTTGCGGTTCTTCGCTAGGCATTCGGATGAAGAAGTCTGGTCCCGACGAGATCAAGCTCTCGAAGAAAAAAAAAAACGACAAAACTCTCGCTGCACCTTTCACTGGGGCACTTCCCGAGTCTCGTCCTGCGGCATCCTGTCGTCGCGGACCGCGCGGCTGGTATCTCACAGCGGGGAGAGAAGGTTGAGGAGATGTCGCCAAAAAGATTGGAACCTAATGACACTATACGATTGGCAGGTTCTTTCCTCCGGAAGCGATCCTGTTGGAGAACGCGTGTTCCTCGTGGTATTGTGGGGGGGTTACCAGGAACGCTGCGAAACCGATCAGCGCGGCGTGTTGGTACAGAATGAACGCGGCAGGGTCCACGAGCCCATGGTCCCTCTCTTTTCACTCTCCCTCTCCCCTCGTTCCATCATCCTTTCTCTCTCTCTCTCCCGCTCACTCTGCTGTTTACGTACCCCTACTCTCCTTCTCTGTCTCTCCAACCAGCGTCTCCCTCTCTCTCTCTCTGTTTCTCTCGCTTTCATTCTCTCGCTCTCTCTTACTTGCGGCTCTTTCTCTGGAGAGGGAACCCCTCGATGGTCGCACGAAAGCCGCCGGCTGCTTCTCTCCCCTGCTGCTTTTCTGCCTTTCCGTTCGTCTCTCTTCCGTTGCTCCACTCGCGCTTTTTTCTTCTCTCTCTTTTTCTCACTCCTTTCCTTCTAGTCGCGCGGTGGCTGGTTCATTGGTTTCATCGGTGCATCGGCCCGGGCTCTTCGTATTCTTTTCTCTAATTATACCGTTACGTGCAATCGTCCGTGTCAATTAGCAGCTCCTTTCTTTCATTCCTCCTCTGCGCTTCTTTTTTCTTCTCCTGCCGCTAGCCGTGCCCGCGGTATCCGGCGTGGCGTGCAACCCCTTCGAAAGGATCACTGCGAGGAAGAAAAAGGGGGAGGCAGAGCGAAGGGTAGCAGTGCGATCGGACCCGCCAATTAATCCTTCGTATCCTTCGAGTCTGCCGCTCGTGTAACAAGACTACCACTCGAGAAGTGATATCTTAAAATCGTAGTTTCCTGCAAGAATCAATCGAAATTAATTATGTACTGCAAATATACGAGAGTAATATTCAAAATATTTGTTATATAATTTTCTAATATAATTAATATAAATTTTAAGACAAAATATATATAAAAATAAGAAATAAAAAAAATTATATGCGTACAAGAAAGAAAGAAAAAAAAGAGAGAGAGAGTAATGTTCATGAAAAAAATTTTATTTTCGTCTTTTAAATATAAATTAAGCGAGGATTAATCGCATAGTATATAATGTTGGAAATAATGCAAATCAATTTTCTCTTTCAAAAATTGCAAAAAGTTTTATTCCTTTTCACACATATATAGGACTAACATAAAATTGTTATTCTTGAATTTTTGAGAAAAACTTAGACTGAAACTATTTATCCTATTCATCCTTATATTATATATGTATAATTTAGCATTGCATTCATCCATATAGAGGATTGCATGATTTCGAGTTTTATTCGCCTTTTAATTTTTTATCGATATCTCTCTCTCTCTCTCTGTCTACGCGCGCGCAAACACATACGCACACACATTTGGGATAATCTAATATAAAAAAATCGTACTCGATATTAACACGTGCTAAAACGTGCGGCGAGAATACAAACCCTTAACATGATTGTCTCCATCTTTCTTCCTTTTATCCTCACGTCGAACGCTAAATGCAGCCGTCTCGTTCTATCGTCCGAGGATCGCGTTCGACATGTTTATGCACGATAGAGATCAAGGGAGCGGGAACGGTTAGCGCTAAATGCGCGGCGTATAGGGCCTTTGTAATCGGCATTTTACGCGCCGACGATAAACATCCAGCATTTATACTCCCTTGCTCGTTAGAGACAGCCACGATGAAGAGATACGGTTTATTCATCTCGGCGCGCTCTTTGATTCCTCCTTCCCTTTAATTATACCGTTACGTGCAATCGCCCTCGTTAATTATCCGCGGCTGCGCTTCCACTAATTCGAAAGGATCGCGCTAGCGTCGATTCTTTCGCGCGCGCTATCTTTCGACGAATCGCGCAATTAATCATCTCGATGACATGTCATATATGTCAACGTAATCGATAATCGATAATTTTTTGCATCATGAAATGCTTATATCGGATTATGCATTGAAAATGGTTGATTAATCAAATTAAAAAAAATTAATATTTTTTCCATAAATTACATCATATGGATTAGTCTATGATATTTTCAATCTTTAATCTCTTAATTTTCAATGCATAATCTGATATGGATTATTTTACTCAGGATGATAATTGTATGTGTCGCTTCAAAAGAGATCGATATTTTTATTAAATTTGAAAAAGGGATATTTTTGTATTTAAATCTAAATTTGATTCTTTGTTTACTAAAAAGTGGAGTGATACACTTACGTCTTTATTTTTTATTTTACATACTTTTATTTCTGTTTTGTACATCACCTTTATTAATTCTTGGGGTCAACGGAAAATAAAAAATAAATTTTGCTTGTTATTAATTTGTTAATAATTATTAATAATATATTATTTATTAATAACTTAGAAAATAGTTAATAAAAATATCCTTTATTAAATTCCTTTGAGGGACTCTAATGAACATCACAGCGTCTTCTTTTTTTACAGAAGATGCCGCAAATGTATTTATCGTTATTGTGATATTTGTCAAGATACGCATTAGTGTGCGCTTATCTCTCCATGCGGTGATACGATAATCGCCACCGATTAATCTATCTTTCTTACCGTCCCTAATCAAAGGGACACGTGCGTGATCGATCACCTTAATTGCAGTAGATTCTGTCCCCTTTTCTCCACCGCTTAACGGGGTAACATTAATCGAAGGTTTTTTACGCGTCGAAACGTCACCAACGAGAAAGATATTAGACTCGGTTCGATCGTTATCGTATTTCTTGTACATTTTTCTTCCCAGAACAAGTCTTCCTCGAGAGTCTCTTTCTATTATCGCATTTTATTAATCAAACAGGAAAATATAACAAGACACTCATTTTGTACAAAGATTAAAGAGGAGCAGCCTTTTATCAACGTAAAAATAACTAGGAGACGATATCATCGATTAAATATAACTGACTAGTAAAAAGATGAATGCATATTTTTTTTATTATAGATGTTCGTTTCTTTTCCAGTATTTGTCAATACAGAAATGTTTACAATCGCGGATTATTTCCTTGATCAAACATCTTTTTCCATCGCGTAAATGCTTTAATATAAATCTTATAAATAGATATAGGAAATATGTTTACTATTACACTAGCGATATAGTTTAGGGATTTAATTTCGATAGAATAGACACAACTTATTTACTGCAAGGATGACTTATTGTAATGAGATATAATTTAATTACATAGAAAAATGTACAATTGATTCACGAAGTGATCATTAGGTATCTTAAATTACACAATTCTTCGCACTTCAAAAAATCGCTTCAAATAAAAGATTTGCCCTACTGTCACACATACCAATACCATGGCTTCGAAAAACGCCCACACTACAACTCGGAAGTTTGTACTTTCATTAATCGCTCTGTGATTGCGGTCGCGAACCTGAAATAGCAACGTCTCGTGAATATCTTTATCGCTCATATATATAAATTAGTAAATTCTCTGTTTAAATACCTGCATGTATTCTTGTTCATTCTTTACACCCCATAAGCTGATGCTCAAATCTTTAATCATGTCGTCTAATTTTCCATGATTAGTATCTCCTTCCTGACCTTCCCCAACAGCATTTTCATCATTCTGCTTCCGATTTTCATCAATATCCATATTGAACATCACTACTTTTGGTGTCATTGTGCTTTTTTGATTACTAAAGCAGTAGGTATAAACACCTGCAGTGTGCGCAGCAAATGTATACTTTCCGCTGCTCTCTCGCTCACCTTGATAAATTATTCTAGCATCGGGACCGACTATCTTTACATCTATATCTAAGAATCCACCCTCTGCTATTTCAAACGTGAGACCTGCAAACATTACATATAAAATAAAACCTATTAAAATATTATCATTAATTATAAATATTTTGTAATAACAATTGTGAAGAAATAGTTAAAAATTTTAAATTCGAAAAATCTCAAATTTATAAAAAATCAACTACATTGTTTTAAACATTTAATTGTGTTTTGGCATATAATTAGAAAAGTATAAAATAGAATAGAATAAAATCATATATATTATACACAAAATATGTATAACTTATAGATAAATTTTCTTATGTAATGAGAATTAGTTATTACGAAAGAATCAATTTATAAATTATAAACAAATAGAAATAAATATGTACATAGTACAAATAAAAATAAATACATGTATATAAGAAATAAATGTATCAGCAAAGAGTAGAAATTATCAATGCTCGATAAGGCAAGCGACAAAATTAATTTAAATTATGCTTGTCGCATGCCGTTCAAAAATACTCGTTAAAAAAAAGAGCAGGGAGAAACGCAGTATAGAAACTAACCCATCTTGGTGCCGAAATCGACTTTATCAAAAAAACATTCTTCGGCGTGCGCGTCTACAGTGATAAAGTAACAACGCACGTTGACGATGAAGATGATCAGGAACATGTATAGAATGAGCCACCTCATTTTCTTTATCGGATATTAATATACAATCGTAAAAGTGACATATGCTTATCTCGTTCTCGATCACTTGCCACTTCACAGCGGCATGTTGCTAGTTGCTATCACAGCGCCACGTATGCAATTCACCACGGATTGTGCGATAAACATAGAGAGGTAATCGCAACATGTGTATGTATAGAGAGAAGTCTCTGGGTATCGATCATGTAACTTTTCCCCTAGGGCGGAAAAGTGAAAAATTTTGCCATTGATTTCAATGCTAATATTTTTCACTTTTCACGTTTCCGCCCTAAAGAAAAAGTTACATGATCGGTATATAACCGCATAGACATAGACTGGATTGAGCAATAATTTAAGCATGTATTTGAAAAAAAATATATCGACATTTTAATAAGATTTAAAATTAGCAAAAAAAAAAAAAAATAGTGGAAGTGAAAAATTTTGCCATTGATTTCAATGCTAATATTTTTCACTTTTCACGTTTCCGCCCTAAAGAAAAAGTTACATGATCGGTATATAACCGCATAGACATAGACTGGATTGAGCAATAATTTAAGCATGTATTTGAGATGAAATATATCGACATTTTAATAAGATTTAAAATTAGCAAAAAAAAAAAAAAAAAGTTTGTGACAACGGTACATGGTGTTCCCAAGCGGTCACCCATCCAAGTACTGACCATGCCCAACGTTGCTTAACTTCAGTGATCGGACGAGAACTGGTGCTTTACAACGTGGTATGACTGTTGCCAATAGTAATACTTCCAATTGCTACAGATATACACAATTTGAAAATTTCAAGACGGTTATATATAAACATATAGGGTGCGTTCCGTTTCACGCATTGAGCGCATAGATCGCCTGGAAATCTATAGTTCACGTAAAGCCCGAATCACACTAGCGGCTCCCGGCTGCGATTGCGATTGCCTCAGCCAATCAGAAAGCACCAATTGCAAGTATGATTGGAGCGTAGCACGTGAAATGGAACGCACCCATAGAATGGACTGAGCGTTGCGATAGACAAACGTGCGCTTGCTATAGAAAAAGAGGTACTATATGGGAGGACTGTGTTTGTCTCTTTTCCTAGCATCTCATTGGTGATTTTCTATATGGAGGGGGATAAAATCACCAATGAGATGCTAGAAAAAGAGACAAATAGGCCTCCCATATAGTACCTCTCTCTCTACAGCGAGCACGCGTTTGTCTGTCGCAACGCTCAGTCCATTCTATATGTCTATGTATAACCGTCTCGAAATTTTCAAATTGTGTATATCTGTAGCAATTGGAAATATTACTACTGGCAACAGTCATACCACGTTGTAAAGCACCAGTTCTCGTCCGATCACTGAAGTTAAGCAACGTTGGGCATGGTCAGTACTTGGATGGGTGACCGCTTGGGAACACCATGTACCGTTGCCACTATTTTTTTTTTTTTTGCTAATTTTAAATCTTATTAAAATGTCGATATATTTCTTTTCAAATACATGCTTAAATTATTGTCATAATAAAATCTACTTTATTTATATAGAGATTGAGCGTATTTAGAGGACTCAACGGTTGGGTAGCAATCGTGATTGCAATAGCGAATGTAATTGGTTCTTACTCTTAGAACAACAAACAACGAGTGTTGACAAAATGATGCTCAACTATTGAGACCGCTGAAAAATTGGCTTGTTTTGGTGTTTTCTATAACCACCTGAAATTTGTCGGTCTAATTCTGGAACACCCTGTATACATGCGCCGCGCACAGTTTACAATAAAGCTTCCCACTCCTTTTATCCATATTAGGCTGTGTTCCGATTCCCCACCCGGGTGCACCCGATATTATAGTATACGTGACATGTACTATAATATCGGGTGCACCTGGGTGGGGAATCGGAACATAGCATTAGATATAAAATATAGTAGAAAGTTTTCCAACAAGAAAACAGGTAGACGCGTCTCTCACGTGATTGGCTATCGAATAGAGAATTTTTAAAGTCCGGAAAATTTTTCTATTGATAGCCAATCGTATAACATTGTGAGTGTTTTCCAGCAAGAGGAAAATTTTAAGCATTAGAAAAAGCTTCTAGCATTAGAAAAATTTTCGAAACTTTAAAAATTCTCTATTGGATAGCGAATTGCGTGATACTGTGTCTCTCTGTGTGTCCTTGCTGGAAAATACTCTGTGACATAGATCATAGAAATATCTATACATGGAGTAATCTATGATTTCTATGTCTATGGTCATATCTGAGAACAGGCGGCGCTGAAACCTGGAATTTGGAATTGGCCGCAACCTCCAACTTTTCAAAAGACAGTTTGTGTATCCTATCGTGGAAAGTATTTCGTATATACATTTCTCACGTGTTTGTAACACCGTTTTATGTATTATCGCGACGAATTATCGACACCTATATGCGTATAAACTGTTAATACGGCAATCAAGGCAATGACTTCAAAAATGTGTAAGAAGGACGTTTTGCAAGCTGTTATTCTTGCGGATGATTTCACAACAAGCTTGACTCCCTCGCAAAATATATTCCCGAGCATCTTGATGCCTGTGATAAATGTACCGCTTTTCGATTACATGCTCGAAACATTGATAAAGTCTAGAATACAGGAAGTATTCCTTTACTGCAGCAGTCACATTGATCAACTTAAGAATTATGTGAAGGTAAAGAATTACAAAGGAACTGCAATCTCCCTGATCATTTCCGACGGTTGCAGCTCTCTCGGAGATGCTTTGCGAGATATTGACACAAAGGGCTGGATCAGAGGTTACTTTATACTGATTCGTGGAAACACATTTGTCAGTACGGATCTTAAAACCCTGCTCAATGCACATTGCTTGAAAGTTGAGAAAGACAAAGGGGCAACTATGACTATGGTATTACGAAATTTTGGTTCAACAAAGGATTCTTATATGAGTGAGGAAGCCTCTCTGGTCGTATCAGATAAAAGTAGCAATAAAATGCTGTATTATGCAAAACTGAAGAATAGCGAGAAGAAAGTGAAGCTGGAACTCAATTGGTTCCTTGATCATAATGAGATAGAGCTTAATACATGTTACTTAGATACTCATATTTATTTGTGTTCACCGTCTGTTTTGCCACTCTTTGCCGATAATTTTGACTTTCAGGTAATTAAACTGAATTATTTTTTTGTATAAAATATCAGATTTTACATAGTTATCTTTAATTGCAATATGCAATATACATTAATAATAAAACAAGTTTAATTTACTACATTGAAATATTGTTTTAAGACTATGGATGATTTTATACGAGGGGTATTGATGAATGAAGAAATACTGGACTCAAGAATTTATTGGCAACAGTTAGATGCAGAAGATTATGCCTTGCCGATTACATCATGGAAGGCTTACCATATGCTTACTCAAGATATTTTACGTAGACACAGTTTTCCTCTGGTGGCAGATGCTTTCCCTTCTTTGAAGAATTTTGTATACATGCCACAAAGCACATACAAACACGAAACCGCCCTTGCTAAGGGTTGCATACTGGAAAAAGACTGTATTCTTGGACTTAACAGTACGCTAGGAATTAATACTAAAATTACAAGATCTGTAATTGCAGATCATTGTATTGTAGGTAGTAACGTTAATATACGTAATTCCTATATCTTTTCAAACGTTAGAATCAAGGATAATTGCTCTATTGTGAATAGTATCTTGTTTCCGAATTGCATCATCAGGTACGGTAGCCAAATAGATGGATGTATATTGTGTCCTGAAATTGATGTCGCTGCTCGTAGTCAATACATCGATATAATCGTCGAGTCTCTACCCTCCGGCGTGTCTAAAACTAAAATGTCAGAACTCGATATTGATGATAAGTTTTTATATTTTAAGAACAACAAAGTAGCCGAATGTGATGACTGCTCCACAGAATCGTCTAGCAGCGAAGAGGATTGCGAGCGCGATTCACCGATTCCGGACGACACGAATATGTTCTTGTCCGAGGTTATCGATAGTCTATTACGTGGTTATCAGGATAAGCTCAATTGCGAGAATTTGATTTTAGAAATAAATTCGTCGAGATACGCGTACAACGTCACCATCCGCGAAGTGACGTACAACGTCATTAAAGCGATTCTTAGTCTGCCTTTACATTATCTTGCCGAAACAAAAACTCCCGTTAATAGCCATAACTATCAAAAGAATCTGAAAGCTATCATTACTTATTTCAATTCTATTATATTGAATTACATTAAGAATGAAGACGCGCAAGATGATTGTTTGCGCGCTATAGAGGACATTGCTAGTACGACCGACGAGTTACTGCCGTATACGCAACACCTGTTGCATCAGTTTTACGGTCGCGATATACTATCAGAAGAGAAGATTTTAGAGTGGTATGAATCCATTAGCGAGGACGCGGATGTGCTTCACAGCAAAGTGAGAAATGCCGTCCAGCCATTCATCAAATGGTTACGAGAGGCGGAGGAAGACTCTACTGAAAGCGATAGCGATTAGAGATACTCTTAAAGATCGCCTATTGTAAAATAAAACAGCTGTATGTCTATGAATGTAAGAAGACTGTATATAGTGCACATATAATATACGAACGCATTGTACAAAAATTGTAATATGGAGATACTTGTCAACTTCTCTTTATTTTATCGCGTATCAACCTTTTGTTTTTGCTTTATAATACTTGATTTTTTTTTGAGCAACGATAAATCACGCACCAAATCGGTAATTCGCGCCAAATATATCATTTCGTATGCATGTATATGTGCGTGTATAACGTGTCGATAAAGCCCGCATGTTTCGCCTGTGTTCAATCTTGACCTCCTATTCTCGTTCGCCGAGACAAAGCTATTATTCCATAGGTACGTCTATTTCCGCCAGGTTGTGCCACGCCAGATGACGATGATCCGGAAACTTGATCGCGTCAATCCAGTGCCGCAAACGCGCTCCTTTGCTACCGCAACCTAACATGAGGCCGCCTAAAAATTACACGTGTAGACACATGTATCAAATATATGCAAGCATTTTATTTGATTAATGCAAATAGATTAATAATATTAAATTATTGATTATATTAATCGATATTAGCTGTTTGATGTTAAAACGTATTTATTGAGATTGAGTATACTTTGAAATTCTAATGATTTTGATTTATTCATCATAGTTATGATGAGTGGAGAAGAATCACTATTTCTCATTTATTTAAAATAATGGAGAATTCAATATAATATATAGTAATTAAATTAAATTTTGATTACAAAACACGTAATTAACTTATTTAATTCAAGCAGAATTGTGTGTATTGTATATATATATATAAACAAATTAAAAAATAAGACGGTTAAGAGAATCAAAAGATTTTTAGAATGATATGCCAGTTAACCCCTATTGTCATTTATGATTTTTGAAGGGGTAACTACTCCGTCGAAGGGGATGAAGCAATTGCAAGCCGTTGCATTTATCATACGTCCTCGAAAACAAAATTGACTTCTTTTGGCATTTTTCGCGAAAATTAATGAATCACAAAATAAACAGGGTAAAAACTTTTCAAATGAACACTGTGTGTATATCGTATTTTTTAAATTGCAAATTTTTTTCAAATTAAGTTCTAAAGTTTAAAAAAAAGATATAGGATTAAAAATCATGGCTAATAATGGCTCATACTACCCAAGTAATCGTTACTCTTGCCGAAATCCTTGTCCCATACGGAGAGACATAGCGTCAGCTTCATCAGCTCCGTCAAGCGAGTCGCGAAAACGAACTCTTCGTTCCATTCTGGGTTCAGGGTCTTGCGTTTGATGCTCGTGCTCTGGGAGTTGCGGCCGGCCGTCTTTTTTAGCTTCCTGGCAGTAGCGCGAGCGGTCGATGAGTAATCTAGGAACCGTTGCTGCCGATGATTGTCGGTCGCATCCTCGACGAGGGCCAACTTGACGAATGGGTCAGAAAACCCGTTGTTGTCCATGGGCAGGAGATTCATAGCGCGGTGTATTGTGACCAGCAGTGCACGCCGACGCGTACAATAGCTCAGGCTTATCTGTATCTGCCCCCGTCCGCTTGAACACATGCCCCAAATTTCCTCTTCGTTGTCTACCTGCATCGAAGTAATCGATATGCTATATACATGCTGATAAGAAATGCTGATTTGTTTATCTTTTTGTGTTTTGTACTCTCTCTTTCTCACTCTCTCTCTCTCTATTATATGGGTCACAACTAGAGATGTAAATAGAAAAAAAAATAAGCCTCGTTTTTTTTCCACATTTTATTTTTTTCAGATATTTAATATCTTTATATTTTGATTACTGCAAATTGATTTTTCATTATTTTTAACTTTTTAGATGATAGATTAGAATTAACCATTATTATTTTAAATGTAGCTCGCATTCCAATCGGCTATATAGTTATGTAATTACTATTTTTAATTAATAAAAATTTTTGTTATGCATCTAATTGAGAATTATCCGAATCATATCGAGTTTGATGTAATTTGCCGTAAAAGTCTCATTAATCCATTAAAATTACTTTTGAAAAAAATAAATTAATATAAAAATTTTAGTTTTTTATTGTTAACAAAAAAAAAGAAGGGAATATTATATTTACAAAAATAATGAAAAAAAATAAAATTGTTTTTTTTTCAATTAAAAAAATACGTTTTTTTCAACTGTTTTTTTTTCTATTAGAAAAAACGGTTTTTTTACATCTCTAGTCACAACATTTATTTTATGAACAATGTTTGGTTTAAATATCATGTATTTAAATGAACTATTTGCTTCTGTCATACTGAATACAATGATCGATTTTACAATCAGCATTTAATTTGAATTGGATCACATATTTGATAAATATAATTTTATGTAGAAATTCTTCAAAATTAATTAAATTTGTTAAATTAATTAAATTAATTAAATTAGTTTAAAATATATTTTATGATATTTATATATATTTATAAACAAAACATATTAAAACTTTTATTTTATGATAATTTAATTAGTAATTAGAATTTTTCATGTTTTAAATTTCACACATTTTGTCATGAAATCAAAATCAATAATATCAACACACACATTGATTAATGCTAATATGTACATATTATAATAGAAAAATTTCTTGAAATATAATCTAGGAAAATTCTTGCATACAAGCAATCGCTACGTAAATTACTGGAATTACTTTGAATTTCTGAAATATTGACGGATTCTTCGTTATACTTTTTTTTTTTTGTATTCAACATACCGGATAATGAGCCTGCAGAGGAACTTTGTAATGTTTCGTTTGATATGGTTGTAATTCGTGTAGAGGAAATTTCGCCTCTCCCAGGAAGTCTTGGCCCGATGGGTCGTCCTGGATGATTAAAATGTGCAATGCCTTGCCACTTGAGATCTATAGCACGAAAATTTCTAGTATATATTTATAATTTATTCGAGAACAGATTGATATTCATATTGTTTATTATGATATGATTGATCTATATACATCGGTTTCTGTCATCCCGTAGAAATTCACCGTCTCGTTGAATTCGGGGTCGCGCGTCTTGTGTACAGTTTTTGTTCGCAATCGGCTGCATGTCGCTATCTTCCCCACGGGCAATATATTCAGTTTGCAAAAGGGATCGGCGTGGCCTTGGATGTCCATAGGTATTAGGCGACGCGCACGTTCCACCTTGCACTGGAGGCACTGATCGGCCGGGTCGTATCGCAAGGAGACTTCGAGAGTCCCATAATCTTGTCCCGTTTCTGTTTTTTTTTTTTTTTTTTTTTTTTCAATATGGGTTTAAAATTTGTCAACTCTTTT